AAAGGAACAGCTTATAGAAAATTAGCAAAACTGGTATCGGTAAAATAGAAAATTGTGGTTTTACTGAGAAAAAAACCTCTCAAAAATGGAAGTGCAATACTACATTATCTGCAATAACAAAACCTCAAAGAAATAAAAGTGATGCAGAATTCAACTCTTAAATATAGTTGTTTATACAATAATTAATACACTTAAAAACTAAAACAGTGTTCTCTTTTCACTAAATATTCTATGAGAAGCTCAAAAGCTTAAGTGGAGAATGACCTGCATGTATTTTAAATGTAAAATATGGTGCGTTATTACAAAGAAAAAGAAAAGAAGTACCCTTTTACCTTTGGTGTTTTTTGTTTGTTTGTTTGTTTGTTTGTGGGCTCACCAGGGATGAAGTAAATACAATAGTCCCGTATTACAAAGTAAAACAACTATAGACCAATATAGAGACTACTCTAAAAGCTGATATATTACCCCAGTAAGAAATCAACAAACCCACTTCCAAATTACCATCTATCCACAGAAGATTTCACAAATGCTCTGCAGAATCAGACTTTTCCAGACTAAGAGACCAAAGGGTCAGACAATGACATGGAATTTGAATTCAAAGGACCAAGGTTTGAGTCCTTACTTGTCATCTGGCAATTTTGTAACTGTAAGTTGGTCATTTAATTACTTCAAATTTCTGATCCCTTGGACACAAAATAGAAATGATAAAACCAGCCTCAGTAGGATGATATTAGAAACAAATTAGACAATGTAACAGAAAATGTTATTAGACTATAAAGTGCTGTACAGGACAATCATCTGGGTTTTACGAGCAGCATTAATGCTTATTTATTATGCGGATGACCATTTCAGTAATACGAGGAAGCATTAGGAGCACAGTACAAAACAACTCAGGTGGAGAAACATTAAATCTTGGACTCTTCTAAAGTCAAAGGTGCTTTATTGTGGTTCTTGGGAATAAGATAAACCTCTGGGGAAATAACTATGGAGTAATTTTTTAATTGAGTCACTGTAATAAAAGGCAAATAATGCTTTATGCTTCCTCTTCATTCCAGAGTCACCAAGATACATAGAGTAATTACTGGACACTGTTCACTGTAGTGATGGCTAACATTTATTAATAATCACAAGAGCCAGATTTCATACTTACTATCTCACTTAAGAGCTTTACATTTATTATCTCGTTGAGTTTTCATGGCAACTTATGAAGTAGGTCGTTTATCCTCATTTGTCAGATGGGGACATTGAGGCTCCCGAGGTAGCGACTTTCCCAAAGCCTGTACAATAGCCCCGCCGTGGCCAGCGCTTTGCTTTCTGTGGTTTCAGTTACGGTCAACTCGACGTAGGAAAATATGAAATGGAAAATTCCAGAAATAAACAATTCATAATTTTCGATTGCACGCCCTTCCGCGTGGGGCCGGCGGGTGAAATCTCGCGGGGTCTTGCTCGCTCCCGCATGTGGCGCGTCCCTCTATCCCGCAGCTCCACGCTGCAGACGCTCCGCCTCTTGTTACGACGGCCTGTCGGTGAGGGCGCCGTGGCCGGGTCACCCCCACAGCACCCTAATGCGGCGTTGCGAGGCCTGCGGCACCCCCTCATCCCCCGCACTGCATCTCATCGCGCCGCGTTTCATCAGCTCGCATCGGCACGAAAAGGGTGAGCACAGTGTAATAAGATATTTTGAAAGAGAGGTGGCACTCTCATAACTTTAACTTTTGTTACAGTATATTATTGTTATATTGATTTATTAGCTATTCTTAATCTCTTACTGCGCCTAGTTTATAAATTAAACTCTATCGTAGGTAGGTATGATAGAAGGAAACATGGTATATATGGGGTTCGGCACTGTCTACAGTTCCAGGCACCCACTGGGGGGCCTTGGAACATATCCCCAAGGATCAGGGGTGATTGCTATGTGGCATTTAAGGACTGTTAAGGACAGAGATTCCGTAACATCTTGGTTGTCGATTCTAGCGTTTAATAATCTCTTTGCATCAATAAGTTGCTCACGTACTCCCTTCATTGCTCTACTCGTGTAATTATTATTTTTATCTGTAAACACTGAGACTTGACAGCCTGATTCATCCTGACTGTGCTTAATAGATACTTCCAGACAAATTGTCTGCCAGAGAGGAGTCCTTCCAGATATAAATTTCCTGTGTCGTGGTTAAAGAAAACAAAAACAAATTACTCGATTGCTCAGTAAGTTACAAAATGAATCCAAATTAAGGTTAATATTGGACGGATCTTCTATCATCCCCATTGAGAGATAACCCAAGCACAGAGCCAAAGAAGACAACCAGTTAATCTTTAATAAAGGCCAAATTGACAGCCAGGGTGAACATAATCACCCTTTCTTTAAAATTTGTTTTACTACTGCAGAAAATATCAAGGGCAATACCAAGGTGTTTTTTTTAATATTTAACAATGTTTAAAATAAATCTTAGTGTACGTATTGAAATAAAATATTGCAATGAATACATGGCCAAATATTAATTTTTATTTTAAATGATACACTCATTCAATTAACACTTGCTGAAGACCATCTGGGCTAGGTGCTGGAGATATAAAAGAGAAAGACATGGTTTATAGCCTGAAGACCTTTTTTTTTTTAATTCTCACCCTGGGATATGCTTTTTTATTGCTGTGAGAGAGAGAGAAACATCAATCATTTGCCTCCCATATAGTGCCCAGGCTGAAGATGGAACCCACAGCCTAGGTATCTGCCGTGACCTGGAATCGAACCCACAACCTTTTGGTGTACAGGACGATACTCCAACCGACCAAGCCACCTGGCCAGGGCCGGAAGACTTCCTTTAGAGGGAAAAGCACTTAGGTGTAATTGCAGTAGTCAAGCGATGTGGAGAAGGGATTTGAGGGAGTAAAAGCAGCTGAAAAGGCTTGAGNGAAGCAGCTGAAAAGGCTTGACGGCCTGAAAATCTGATGTAATGTTTTCATTGCTCCTGGAGCATCAAACTGATTAGGTGCATGGCTGCTTAGGTAGGGAAATGAAACTGTCAAAGGCTTTATCTCTCACCTTGAAGGCTGTGTCGACACCAAAAAGGTGGAGCAACGTTCAGTTTTCGGCTTAGAAAAATTAGTCTGGTGCTGGTGTGAGGAATGGGTTGGAGGCAAAAAAACCTAAAAACAGGGAGATGGTTAGGAGATCCTAACAGGCAGGTAATGAAATGGATCTGAGTGGGGGCAGACCCTTAAGCAAATAGCAAGGCCTGGTGAATGGAAAAAGGCCTGGTAAAAGGAGCCAGAAGCAGCAGGAATTGTGAGGGATTCATGTGGGTACATGAATAGGGAATTCTGTCTAAGAGTACTATTTCTGGGTGGTAGGTGGTTCTGAACTTTAAGTCCTGTTGAGACCATGGAGTAAATGAAATCAACCAAAATGAGCAAGTAGAGCAAAGATTGCAAGGCAGACTGGAGTCATAACTGACCAGGGACTGGTTGAGAAAGAAAAAAATACTGTGCAAATGAGTAACATAATAACAGTGACAAACCTGGGAGCCTATGTCCTGTCCAAAGCCTTCTACTCAAAGTGTGGTCCATGGACCATCAACACTGCTATTCCCTGAAAGCTTATTAAAAATGCAGAATTTTAAGCCCAGCCTCAGAGCTGCTATATCCAAATATTCATTTTAACACTAAAGTTTGGGAAGCATTGGTCTAAAAGGTGTAATTGTTTTTCTGCACTAGCTAATTGTTTTGATTGGTAATATGGGCATGGTGTTGTCAAATGTTCTGATTTTTTTAAGAGGCAATTTCCCAATTTTAGGAACCTTTCCACAGATTAGGTTGACAAATGTCTGATTTTCTATAAAGTTGCCTCATCACTATTTTAGTGCTGTTTCCTAATCACAAGAGTGTGTAGCCTTGTGAAAAATTTAAAACATCAGGAAAACTGTCAGCAAATGCAATAAATATTTGGGGAGAAGATAAACTCAGATGTGTTTGTTCTAGAATAGTAACCACTATATAATCTCCACCTTCATCTGTTGTTGTTTTTTTGTTCTTTTGGTGGACTTCTGTGCTGTCTTTTGGGATGCTTTGATACATTTCACAATGTTATTTCAATTTAAGGAAAATAACATGATGATCTGGTATATAAAGATGAAATAGCATCAGAAGTGCATATGCTTTTAATCATTTCTGTGTGGTGGTAATGAACTTGCATTTAACTACTCGTAGTCTTTTCTGCTGATTCCTTATAGAGTTATTGTAGGACTGAAAATATCTGCTTAAATATTATCCTCATTTCAATGTATTAAAATTGAGCTAAAGCAAGTTTACTAAAGTGACCCAACTTATGAACCTTCTGTTAAAAATACATATATAATATATATGTGTGTGTGTGTATATAGGACATTGTTATGTCTTTACACCAAAAGTATTAAAAAATAAGTTGTTTTTCATTGTTTTTCTTGCTTTTTATGTTGCTATCTGTTGGCCTACATGTGACCAGCTTCCATATAGCACGTTAGAGAATGCAGTGTTGGAAAACTCAGGTGAGGACTTTTGTTGAAAATGGTGCATGGCAGACAACCACAGTGTAGCCCAGGACAGATGTCGTTCTTTGCCTCCCTGACATCCATTCCATCATTTTCTTTGTTAACAACTGCATTTTGTTTGATGAGCCCCAGTAGGTCTAAACTAATCACGGTGATCCTATTCCACTTTGCCAACGATTGGTTTGGGTGTAAACACCTAGAATTTGAGACAGGGGAGTTTGGCTGGGGAGCATTGGTCTTCTGAGGATAATTTGTCTCCTTGATTGAAGGAGAGAACCATCTGATGAAAGGCCCTTTTCTACCTGCATACCTGCTTTTGAAATTATTTTTAAATGTATTGATTTGAGAGAGAGAGAATAAGAGACATCGATTTGTTGTTCCACCTATTCATTTATTTGGTTGCTTCTTGTATGTGCCCTGATCGGGGATCAAACCCAAAACCTTGGCTTATTGGGATGACACTCTAACTAACTGAGCTACCTGGGCAGGGCTCTGCATACCTCCATTTGAAGGTTTAATCCCGGTATCTGCAGCAACTATTTTGTGACCTGAGGCAAACAGCATGAGAATGGGAGCTGGTATGCTAAAAGTGGCACAGAAGGATGAGCAGAGCCTGTCTGTGACACTGCTATTGAACTTTTGAACCAACTCTGGAATTACTTTACTCTGTACTTTTTGTTCATAAAACTAGGCTTTTCTTCCCTTGCAGTTCAAAACATACCTTCTCCTTAGATTCTGGGACCCAGTAGTAATGTGTATGTTGGGGAAAGTTTTCCCACACCAACAAACAATTCTTTGGATGCCAGGGTGTCCTGTAATGCAACTCAATTCTGACACTAGAGATAGCATCAGATGCCACAGATGAAGGGCTCAGTCCCACAAGACAGCTCTCCTCCCTCTCCAGACACCAGTAGAAAGTCCAGGCTGTTGCCCATACTTCAGACCAATTGGCTATAAATTGGAGGTTTCCACCAGCCCCTCCTTGGGTCCAATTAATTTGCTAGAGCAGCTCACAACTCAGAAAAAAAATTTTCCTTACTAGATTACCAGGCCATCCTTAAAGGGTAAAACTAAGGAACACAGAGCAAGGTGTGGGGAAAGGGCACGGAGTTCCCGCACACAGGCCCATCAGTCTCCTCAAATCTCCATGTTCACCAACCCAGAAGCTCTCTGAACCAGTCCTTTTGGTTTTTTATGGAGGCTTTATTATAGAGACATGATTGATTACATCATTGGCCATTGGCCATTGAACTCAATCACTCAATCTTCAGCCTCTCTGCCCTCCAGAAGGTCAGGGGTGAGACTGAAAGTTTCAACCCTCTAATCACAAGGTTGACTCTATTGGCAACCAGCCCCCATCTTTAGGTTAACATCATAACATCAACCTGACACTAACATTATATTAATATAACATTATTGCTGTAATAACAATCTTAACATTATGTTAAAACAACATCGACAAAGATATCTTTATAACTCTCTCCACTTAAGAAATTTCAATGGTTTTAGGAGCTCTGTGCCAGAAAGGGAGATGGGGGCCAAATATGTATTTCTCATTATAAATCACAGTATCACACCTTCTGACACTTGGCCTCTCCCAGTTTCTCGGTGAAATGCCAGGGATGACACAGGGAAACTACTAGGAACTCATTCTGAAAATGAAACAGCTACAACACAAAGCCCTTCCACTGCCCCTTTTTCTTGGTTAAAAATGGCACAAATTTGGAAGATGTCTCTTTGGTGTTGGAAAAAGAAGAATCAACCAAAATGAAGCAGAGATTAGCCCCCAAATTTTGGCTTTATTTTTTATTGGGAACAGGACGACTCATTACCCATATTTTCAAGAATAAACAACTAGCAGGAGTTTCTTCCATGTCCTGCTTATCTGTTGCCAAAACCAGTTACAGTGCAGGAAGGATCAGTATTGATAGCTCTGCCATCACTGTAAATGTTTGTTCATTGAAAAGCTTTCCAGAAAAACACCATCGTATTTCAAGAGCTTAGGCCAGCTTCCTCAGTGATGACTCAAGGCTCCTAACATCAAGGCATGTTGAGTAAATACAGGTCAGGGCAATGTAAATTCCTTTTGCCGTGATAAAAAAGAGTGTATCATGGGTTTAAACATCCTGTGCTCAAGAAGCACCATAATTCCTTTATATAAATATTCAAACCGCAGCAATAAACATGGCCAATGTATTATTATATGTCACTAGAACCCACAAAGCTATAATTTCTTTCAGAAAGCTAAATTTCCATTTTCTGCCTCTTGAATTATCTTATGAGCCTTCTTATCCTTGTAAATTAAAATACTGATTTTTAAAAAGCAATTTTATCAAACATATTTGCCCATATTCATCATTCTGAAAATAGAATATAGTAAAAAAACATTTAACCAAACTAGAAAACTTTATCATGGACATCTACAAGAAACAGGGACATTTTAAGAGTGTAACTGTGGCCCAGCCGGGCATGGCTCAGCCACTGAGCATCGACCTAGGATCCAGGAGATCGCAGTTTGATTTCCAGTCAGGGCACATGCCTGGGTTCTGGGCCCGGCCCGATCCCCAGTGAGGGGCCTGCAGGAGGCAGCCAATCAATGACTCTCTCATCATTGATGTTTCTCTCTCTCTCCCCCTCTCCTTTCTTCTCTCTGAAATCAATAAACATATATTTTAAGAAAAAAAAAAAAGCTGTGTAGGTGCTCTGTTTGGAAACTTGAATGCTAACTGCATTTTTATGATATTAAGAGATTGTTACCAATTTTTAGGATAATGTTATTGTGGCTATATTTTTAAAAGTCTGTATAATTTGGAGATACCGACTAAAATATTTACAGGTGAAATGAATGATATGATGTCTGGAATTTGCTCCAAAACAATATGGGAAGTGGGAGTATATTTAAAACAGTATTAGTCATAAACTGATCATTGTGTTGTATATTGTTACATGAATACGTGGCGGTTCATTCTAGCATTTTGTCTACATTTTAAACAACTTTGTAAGGGAAATCTCTACTTATTAATTTTCACAAATTGAACACACCTGTGTAAATGACACTCAGATGAAAACAAAATATTACCAGAACTCCAGAAGACCCACTTGTGCTTCCTGTCGTAATACCCACCCTTTCCCAGTCGTGATCACCATCCTGGCTTCTCACATCATATCTTTGCCCATTTATGTAATTCATATAAATGTAACACTCCTTTGTACTTGGGTTTTCATTCAACATTAGGGTGAGATATTTTGGAGTTGTTTTATGTAGTTATAGATCATTCATTCTCACTGATGCATATATTCCAGTTTGTGAATCTACCACCGTTCACCTGTCCATTCCACTATTGGTAGCCATTTGGAATTCTCAGGTTTTTTGCTTTACGAACAGTGCCACTGTGAAAATTCTATTTCATGTCCTTTGCCAAATGTTTATATTCATGGTTTTGTTGTTGTTGAGTATATACCTAGAATTATTGGATCATAAAATATGAATATATGCAGTTACAATAGATGCTACTAAACTGTTTTCCAAAGGTGGTTATACCAATTTATACTTACAACTGTAGGGTATAAGTGTTCCAGTTTATCCATATCTTTGCCGACACTTGCTATTTTCCATCTTTTTCATTTTTTATTTCTGGTGGGAGTATTGGGGTATCACGTTGTGGTTTAAATGTACAATTCCCTGATGACAATGAGGTTAAGCATCTTATTATAGGTTTACTGACTATTTGGATATCCCCTTTGGTGATGTATATGTTAAAATATTTATCAATTTATTTTGGACATCTATGTTTTCCAGTCACTTGGTAAAATTTCTTTATATTTCCTAGAGAAGAGTATTTTTTCAGTATATGTAAGAGAATGTCTTTCATTCTGAATTGTTTTTGTTCTTTCTCAGTGGCATCTTTTGATCTACAGATATTCTTAATTGTATTATTATTTTTTTCCATCCCGAAGGATGCCCAGGGCCATAAAAAGGTACTTTCTGCCAGTGAAGTTCTCCGCCTCCTTGATGACAGCAATATTACTGTGTTCACTTCCAACTCCAGAGCTTAATTCCTTAAAGTGTATTTGTTGCAATTTGCTACATTTTTATGTGAGTCTATTTATAGGTGTCATTAGATAAACTCAGGTCTTTCAAATGAAGAAATTTCTGGCCCATCTAGGGAAAAAGGTAATGGTATGACAGCCGTGAAACCAATGGTAGGAAAAGTTGGAACTGATAACCGTGATGCTAGTGGTGATTCTCTGTCGAGGAAAAGACCAGGTATAAGAGCGTTATTGATGTTATTTCTAGCATGCTGATAGAATGTCTTTCCAGTTATCTATCTAAGCCAACCTTTAAAGTACTGTTTCTTTGTTGAAAACACCACTTTAGGGTTTTTTTAAAGTATAAAATTTGTTTTTCTTATTTATGTAAGACCTGGTTTTGTTCTCAGAAGGAGAGAAGACAGTAGCTCTGGACAGGGCTATATCTATATTGGTCTTCATCTGACAAGAAATTCTTAATTTTAGCATACTCTGTCAACTTTTTCCTTTATCTTTAATGCATCCTGTGTTAAGTATTTTAAACAGTCTCTGCCTTCTTCAGGTCACAAAAGTGACTTCCTACATTCCTTGCTGAAAGCTTTGATATTTTATCAGTCACGCACGGATCTACAGTCTATATGGAATTGATTTTTATATGTGGTGTGTAGTGGGGAGTCAAAATACCCTTGCCCCTCATGTGCACATGTAACTAACCCAGCACCATTATTAAAAAGCTGTTTTTGTCTAGTGCACTTAGTCAGTTTTGTCATAAAGCAGGTGTCTAAATATCTGTGTTTGTTTCTGGAGTATCGCTTCTGTCTTTATATTGTTTGCCTACTGTTGTGCTCTTTATGCTGTTGGTAGATTTTTAATGTCCCTGTCTGTTAACACCAATATCTAGGTCATTCATGGGTCAGTTCTCTGTCTAGTAATTATATGTGGGACAAAAATACTGTAAAGAGCTATATGGACTCTAGTTTTAAGAGCCATAAAGTCTGTAGTTGATGTAATTTCTCACCAGAGAGGTTTTCATATTTCCTTTCTTAGGAAGAGAGGGAGAAAAAAATGAACAGTTCAGTCCAGGATTGTGCTGAGTCTGGGCTGGGTTGCAGTTTTAATGGGATTCATTCTAGGTCTGATTCATATGTTTTTTAGAGGCATGTGTTTTAGAGAATTTTAATTGAGATGTTTTGGGTGCATGCCCCCTTAGTCTTAAAACACTGTAGGAGGTTTTTTTGTCTTTGGAGGTTCTCAGGTGATCTCTTTAGATCCTTACCCTACCACATACATAGTTTGACATCCTGTCAAGGATCTTTGGGGATACTGGCTGTGTTTTTAGGCAGTGAAACTACCCAGGATCCCACTCTGCCTTTTAGAAGTGTTTTACATTCTTCCTCAGCTTACCCTGCAGACCTGGAACTCAGAAAAGGCTCGTGGGGAAATTCATCATGCATCGAAACCCCTTAAGTCTCCTATTTATTACTCCAGCCCCATATAACCACTAAAAGCTTGGCTGGTCTCTTCATTCTCCTGTGAAATCCCTCTGTGTTTTAAAAGTCTATCTTCAGCCCATGCTCAGAATTGTCAGATACTCCCAGAGGAAAAACATCTGACTCATCAGTTTACTTTGGAAGGGTGTCATCTCTCTATAACTTCATTTCATTTCATCCTAGTAGCTTCTGTTATTATACAATTTGAGGAGTTCTTGCCTCATGGATTCATGGAACCAAAATGGGTTTCAGGGAGTCCAGAAATCACCAAAAAGGGTATTATTTTATTCATGTATTTATGTATTTCCCACCTTTGGGAAATACAGATTTTATCAGGTTCTCAGGGGAGTCCATGATTCAAGTGAAATTCAAACCAACCACTTTAGCCACCGTTCAGTTAAATTCCTTTGATATATTTTGAGATGTACATCTGTGATTGGCTTTCTGACCCTCCATCCTCCCCCTTTTCAGGAATAGCCACAATTTTTATTCAAGGATCCATTTTCCACTATTCTTCATCCACGCCTAAAACAGTTTCACCTTTGCCTATTTGCTTAAGAGAATTTAGGTTGGAGTTTCTGCAACCTGCAACCAAAACCCTCCAACAACTTACTTTATCACACATTCTTTGTCCTCAATTACTTGGCTTTGCTTTTTTGCAGACAAGACCAAATGCTGGCTGCAGACAAAATCCACACTTGGCCAATAGAAGTTCCGCTGTCATTTGCTGGAACAGAGTATTGCATGGGGAAACACCAACCTTGTGCTAGTTTTGGTCTCCACCAGTCCATTTTGCTGTCTTCAGCATTTCGCCTCTCTTCGCTGCTATCACCACTGTTACCTTTCTGCTGCTGCTTTCTGCCCTCAGGGGCCATGCTTGCTTACTTGCCATTGCAGACTTCACATTACTCCTTCCTGGAGAGTAGGAGAGGTCGCCTTTTGCCTTCCTTTTCTAGTACATTCTTCTGGATGCCATCATTGCTTTATTTTCTGGTTTCTTGCCCTAGGAAGGGAAGATTCTTAAACAAGGATTCTGAAGTTCAACTTCTACTCTACAGACTTTTTTTTCCCTCCCAGTTACAGTTAACATACAATATTATATTAACTTCAGGTGTACAACATAGTGATTAGACATTTATATCTACCTTATGAAGCAGACTGGTTCTTCATTAATGCTTCTTGGAAGATATAGAGACAGTCATAACTATATACTGAAGCACTGGACATTAACCCCTCAGCCACACGATTTAAGCCTTCTTTATGAGCATACTCGGAACACAGATGAAATCAGCCAGACTCTTCTGTAGACGTGTGTTTTTTTGCCTTTTTATGCTTTATTATGGGAAATTGTACATATAGAAAAGTAGATGGACTAGGCATATGGTTAGTATATCATAACAGCAGACTGACCCTACTGCTGAAACAACCAGAAAAAATCAGATAAATTATACAAACCAGATATTTAACTTTTCAAGTGCGGCTCTCATATTTCTTTTAGGCAGTGCTGGATTTGAGTTAAAGATTGATAGCTAAACATAGCTGAAATGAAGGTTTCTAATTATGCTGAACTGGTTATTTGGCTTCCTTAGAACTGCAGATGAAGAGGTAGAATGAAATTATGTTATAAACAGATAGAAGCCAGTTTGGTATTGCATAAATCTTAGGCCCTCTTTGGTGGATAACAGCCGTCATACAAGACTGCAAATGCTGAGCACTCCCTATGACCTTTTTACAAGGCATAACGCATGCAAGACTCAGACCAAAGTCTGCCTACCGACATTCATTAACAAATTCTTTGAGCTCTTTAAAATCCAGCTCTATCCACCGTCCTTGAGGCATCAGAACATTTCAGAGGCAAGATTCAGTGAACATTAGGAAGATGGAAATCCTCCTCATGCATGGTTGGCCATTTAAGGTTCAGTCCTTGAGAATTCCCCCGGAGAGTGCACGGCACGGGCCTCCTGTTCATGTAAGGATAGGAAGTACTAAGTGCTTCTCAAACACTTTAGCCAATCTACATATTTTCAGTACTTTTCGCCAATGAGATGTCACTTTTAATACGCAAGCCACAAATTCCACCAGTAAAAACTACTTTGGGCATTCCCTAAACTACCTAATAAAGCCTCAGGTGTTCAAGAGACAGACAATAGAAGTGCTTACTGAAGCCACTTGTGAAGTATAGCCTTTGTGATGTGACTCAGGTTAACTTGGATAAGATATTTTGTCAGTGCAGAGGGAAGTGATGCTATTCTCTCCCTTGTTCTGAAACCAAAGAAAATAATCTGAACTACTTTTATTTATTTTTAAAATATATATCTTTATTGATTTCAGAGAGAGGAAAGGAGAAGGAGAGAGAGAGATAGAAACATCAGTGATGAGAGAGCCAGTGATCGGTTGCCTCCTGCATGCCCCCAACTGGGGATCGAGCCCGCAACCCGGGCACGTGCCCTGACCCGGAATCGAATCCTGATCGCCTGGATCCTAGGTCAACGCTCAACCACTGAGCCATGCCTGGCCAGGCTGAACTACTTTTAATGTAGTAAATGAGCCTTTATGCATTTGATGTTCAACAAATATAAAGGTAAGAACAAAACTGAAGTTATTTGTTGGGGGTAGGCCCATACAGTAGTGTGGACCTACGACATTTTGAGAGGTCACATAACAACCTAATACCCTTTAAAAATCCCTTTATGCTTAAATTACGTTGAATGAATTGTGTTGTCTGCAACTGAGAATTCATACAGATACAAAGTCCAAGGATAGTGTTCTGCAGCACTCTGCTAAAGATCCCCATTCAGTCCGTGTATGTGTTTTCACTGGGTGCATGTCACAAATCAGTTCCTAGTGCACTTAAGGAATAAAATATATAGTATTATAACACACTAGTATCACATTGATCTTGTATTTTTGGGATACCACAGTGTGGGGAGAAAGGATTAACTCCAGTGAACTCTCGTGGAGTTCCCAGGATGTGCCTTGAGCTGGTGATGGGCTAGGTCATTCCCTGAGGCTCCAGGGTGTCAACCTTGACCTTCTGCAACTGGAAACAGGAAGGAATATGAACCTGGGTGGCAGGGAATGCGGGAGTTTTAGAAGTTTGACCAGGAGAGTTTGATTATTTTGTTTTATTGGATTTGAGTTCTAAATGGGGATTTTTAACATTTTCTGAGAAAAGGACAAGACAGAAAGACATACAGAATCCCATTAAGTGGTAAAATAATGACACTCCTGGTCCAGGAGTCTAAAGTGAAGATTCTATGTCGGTTATGCTTGCCTTGGCCTTGCATAGAAAAAATCTCACATAAAGATATATATTCTTAAATGTGCCTTTCCCCTCAGCCTCTTTTAAGTTGTATTCTTTATGAAATGGTTGAACTCCTTTAATGGGCATTGGGGAAATAAGAGGAAGGATTTGGTATTCTGAGGCTAGTAATTTATAGGAGGGGCAGGGAATTTTGAGGAGCCAGGCCTAGAGGCACCGTGGGAATCATGAGACAATCTCTGGGGATGGATATAAAAATGACCTCTCTGGAGGCTGGGCCTGCAGCTGTGACTGTCATATTCCATCCAGGGACTCTCTCCAGTGCTCTACTTGTACTATGAGTCATTGTACTTCACCTGATTAAGGAATGTCCTAATCCTACGCCACTGAAAAATACCGACTAGGAGTGCTTTTTCATGAAAGTGAATAGACTTTCTTCTAAAGCATTGGAAGACAATTTAATATATCAAGAAGGTACTTTTGCTTTTAGTGTCTAAGAAGACCCGATTTGCTTCAAATGATAAAATGTACCAACAGCAGCTCACAGTGGCATAATTACTGCTATTATTGGGATTAGTCAGACAGCTCCTGAGGATTCTGTTCTCATCTCAGCAAACCTTGAGAAGTCTCTCCTCCCTCCAAGATTATTGCTGTTGAACTCTGTAAGGTGAACTCTTTCCTATATGTCTGCTGCATCAGCTTCCAATTACTGTTGCCATCCCCACCCCAGGTTTCCACATTATTACAACTCAATAGGGCTGAGGTTTCTTCAGCACTTTTCTGAACAAGAAACTTCAAGTCACTGTGAGAAGCTTAATAATATTAACATGGTACTCCCAGAGAGCATTTTCCATCTTCCAGATGCTTAATGCTGCCCATCAGGGTACTCACTCGATGAAGATGAGGCAGCTTTTAAAACCCATTAGCTTTCTGAGAGCATCCCCCTTGCTTCCTTGGATCCAGATCATTTTCATGCTGTTTTCTTCTGGGAATGTGACACCAGAAACAATTAAGCCCATTAGAAAAAGTGTTCTCTAAGTCCACCTTGATCTCCGGACCATCTCTTTACAGAAATCTCAATTTAAGCTTTTCTCAGATACAATTTCTATCCAATTTTAGCTAGAAAGACACCTCATTCAGACATTAGGTCACATAGATTAAAATATATTTGAAAAGATTGAGAATAAAAGGGTTTTTTTCCTTTTTTGCAGAAGTTAAAACTATGTTCTTAGGACAGAGTTTAAGACTATCATACTTAAGAAAATAGGTTATTTTTAAAGATTAACTAAAAATATTTATAAAATCTGAGTTAAATATTTTGTTGCGACTTCCAAATGTCTTTCATATTCATATGTTATACTACCACTTGTGTAGAGAGGTCATACTGTCCTGCTAAATAACTGAGGGAATGACACATATCACACAGACCCGGAAGGTGCTCTATTGCCCTTGGAAAATGAACTACACCTAACTCATGTTATGGTGACTCTATCATGTGTAAAGAATTCGAAGATTCTTTTTTTTTTTTTAAGATTTTATTTTAATGCCCAGGTAAGAGTATTAAAACAACTGTCCTCTATCAGCATCTCTACATGAAACAAGTTTTAGCATCAAAATTGAAGGGAGGTTATACTTGTAGATAATAAAATGAGATAGGTTTTGTTTTGTGATTTTAGTGTCCTTTTCTCGTTTTGCTGAGGATGGGTGAAAACTTCATCAGAGCCCAGCAGGGTGGCTGTTTGGAAACCTCACCAGACCTGTTTTGTAAGGTCCCTGCTGGTTCTGACATTCTAGGATTAAAATAGGCATTTTTAGGATTTACTTTCATTCTCAGTTCGATACCCTGCAAAATAGCCCACTATCAGGACCTCTAGAATAGCCCTCAGGCACTAGGAGCTCCAGTGTAGGTCCCCTACGAGGGCCACCTTTGATTTTTCCAAATTTATCTCTCTTCTCACCCTGCCTCACAACTTTCATATCACCTGATTCCATAAACACACATTCACAATTTACCAGAATCGCTCAGGAAAATCAAGGAATTCTTCTTAAGGATTTCATGCTAGACAGTTAGTGGTTTAATGAGTTATACCTTGCTTTGCATATTTAAAATTCATGAAAACACTCTTAAGTCAAAGGATTGCATCTTTAGTGATTATTTCCCAAAGAGTCAGGAAATCTAAATTTTTTAAGGTCAATAGTTAGTGCTAACTACCTAGAACTCTAGTCTTCTTTGGGAGTCAGGATGAAGCCAGCTACTATAAGGATGTCTGTACTCTCCCATCCTGTGGACTCTTCCTTTAAAATACACTTGAATAGAGAAGCACTAAACTCTAGGACATTGGGGAGGTGGGGCTGCAGGAGGGGACAGAAGCAGAGACTCTCAGGTAGTGCGCAGGAAGAAAGAAAATTTCAACAAAACACCAACAGGAAGAAATTTGGAGACCTTTGAAGAAAGTTCTGAGCAAAAGCAACATTAGTTTAAAAGGATTATACCGTATACCCATGTTCATGTCCATTGCAGCATTATTCACAATAGCCAAAAGGTGGAAGCAACCCAAGTGTTTACTGACAGATGACTGGATAAGCAAAATGTGATATATACATACCATGAAA